TCCAGGATTGATCTGAGTTTTTTTTTTCCAAGGCCGTCATTTGACAACAGGCAGTTTTGTGAAAGCTAACCATAAATTGCACGCTGCCTGGACTCCACTAAGGATTCTGGGTAAACATCAGGAGTGGGAAGGCTGAGGGTTGATGATGTAAAGATGGTCACAGATGACACGTCCTGCTGTGTGTGTGTGTGTGTGTGTGTGTGTGTGTGTGTGTAGGAGTGATCAGGATCAATCATGTTGATCAGCTCATCATTACTTTACAATGTTTGACCAACAATAGTCTGTGAAATTCATCAGCTAACATCTGTAGCCCACGTCTGTAGCCCACATCTGTAGCCCACATCTGTAGCCCACAGACAGACGGCTGTGCTCTGTACATCCCATAATGTGATTGTCGTCCACTCGTCTTCTCTGCAGTGTTCTCCTGCAGCTGTGCCTGTGGCTGTGATCAGTTTATTTGCAGTTTTCACCGAGTCATTTCACAGCATCACATGAGCAGAGCAGCAGCGCCTCCAGCTGACACACTGGGGAATGTTGAACTGATTGTCCCCAGAGTCAGTTACAGCCACATCAACAGACTGAAGGATCTCCTCCTCCTGATCCCGTATCAATCTCCTCAGTCATTGATCAGTTCTTGATTTTCTCCAATATTCCTGGTGTTGGTTCATGTTCTTGTTCTTTTCTTTCTTCTCTAGTGATTCCAAATGTAGATCCCTCTGTTCCAGAGTTAGGAACTGATGTTCAGATGGAACAGAATCTCAGACTAGGATCAGACTCTGACCACAGTGACACTGATACGTATCATATCGCCAGACTCTTGACAACACACACGCCCGGTCAGGTTTTGTTGACCAGGGAAATCGATTTGACGGCACCGTCGGTCCCATCGACGGCTCCTGTCGTGACCGGTCACAGCTCGGTCCGATTGCTGCGTCTCTAACTAACCTGACTTCCTGTCTGTGCTCTCACTCCGTGTGACTCCGTCACCACAACACGTCAGGATGATGAGGTGTGACTTTGTTTGTCAACGTCTTGCAGAGAAACGCAGCCAAAAGTCCCAGGTCACGTGACTCCACTGTTTTAGGTATAAAAGGTTTCACAACAAGAGACTCAGTCGCTCCGATCAGTCCAAGGTCAGATCATCAGAAGTAAAATATCAGAATACATTTTACAACCTCTGTTGGA